TCGAAAGCGCGCGTAGTCGATTTTACAATCAGCGAACAAGCTTCTACTTTAAAGGAAACTGCCTCGTTTTCCAAAGCTATCTTAGGCAAGTCGACCTCAACATAAAGTTGACTATAAAATAAATAAACTATACGAACCTCCTATGTAGTTTATCCTACTTGTAGATGGCAGAGGCGTCTCTCTCTCTTTGGGCAAGGAGGAGGTGAAATGAATCTCGTACTTGAGACATTCAATATGGTCAAATAATCGAGCCTTGAGTCACAATGATTTCCGGTAAGCGGTCGCTGGGCTTGAAAATATCGAGATGAAGCCTAGTGTTAATCGCGAGGCAATAAAAACGCAAGTATGAACGCAAGCATTAAAACTCTTATTTCACCGTGAAAACGGCTCGATGCAAACATAAACACAAGCACGAGCACGGGGGTCAAAACCATTTCTTTTTCTCGTGCTAGTTAGCATTTGTGCTTTTGCCTACTTGTAGCCGTTTCTCCGTTTCCCCCCTCCAAGGAGAAACGTTTCTCCTTGGGTGGGGAGGGTACGGTTACACGGAGACTATTCGTGCTTACGCTTCTGCTTGCGTCGTTAGTGAAAAACAGACAACAAGAAAAGGAACCGGAAATTGTCTCTTAGAAACGGTTGATCAAACGTATCCAATGTAGGCCCTTGGCATGTGGATGTACTATGGTATAACTCGAAATCTTCATCTTGGATCAGTAAACGTTTTTGGGGAGAGGTAAAACACACTCTTCTTGCTTTCTTTCTTTAGCCTGAAGTTGGAAAAGAAAACACTTTTTTTCTTACAGGAGTGAAAGATCAGCATTTTGCCACCAAAGTGAATTACCATACCCATTGAGGGTGGGGTGTACAGTTCAGGTAAAATGTCCGCTCCATACTTAGATACCTTATTTGGCAAATTTCATTTTAATAACATCATATTCAAGTCTAAAACATTGAGAGCTAAGAAATGTGTGTCCTTTAGATAAATATTCTCAGATTTGAAAGTGCATCCATTGCTTATTTGAAGTTTCTGATGGCACAGGAGTAGCCCAATCCAACTTTTGGCCCATTTTAATAGAGTCCCAGGTTCAACTCCTTCTTGAATGTTTGATGTAAAAAGCTTCACTGTACTCTCTCACTTCAGTCATCAAACTTAACCTCACAAGTTTATCATCTCTTTTTTTTCAACAATTGTAGAGGGTGATGAAGTTGTTGGGCCAAAGGATTTGTAATCTGGTGCTTCAAGATTTCCACCACGCTACTCAGTTAATTGTTTCTTTATTGTCCCCAAGTTCAACTCTTTGGCTGCACTCTTTAAAGAGCTGACTTGTTGGCTTTCTGCCTCAGAAGTACAGTCAGTCTCACAGTATTCCTCTATCCCCAAATTCAATGTTACCTTATTGATTAAGTGCATACATTTTTCTTGGGAGAAAATCCTTCAATAGTTTTGGCAAAGAATCTGCAGGTATCCCCAAGTAAAAGAAGTTCAAGACATTATTTCACGAGTTTTAAAGAAATCTACTGAAAACTACCAAAAAAACCCAACCCTTTAGTTGGTATCAGGACATTGTAATGAATCATGAATGTAGAGAATCTTAATATGGATATTTGTGCCTCCCACTCCTAGTGTTTCTTTGTGTCTGTTTCTTTCTGCATAGCCTCACACATGTTGCTACACAAGGGTGTTTATTGACAAGAATGGACCCTTCCATAGGCCACATGCTTGAGACAATAAGTTTTACTTGGTGAAACAGTCATCCATGAAGACAAGTTTAAGGAAAAATAAACCAAATTTTCAAACCAACAAGTGTTTTTTTAGTGGTTGTCAGACCACAGTATAAGTACCAGAACAGGAGACTCGTTATCCTCAGTGGTTCTTAAAGATTAGAAAAGTATCACTTGGAAACTCTGGATGTGATCCACCGGGTCATTTCTATAAACGAGCTTCCAACATGTCACAGAAATGTAAACTCACTGATTAAACTGTATCTTTCAACCACAGGATACAGTTATTTTATGTAAAAAGTTTTCCTCTTTCTTGATTTCAACAAGTTTGTTTTTCACATTTCTGCAAAACCATAAAAAGTAAAGATTTACCTCCAAGTCACATGTATGATCAAACAGAATTGTAGGAGGCTGAGAACTCAAAGCCCGCACTTTGTGGAATTCTATAGTCAAAAGTACGTACAAGAGAAAAAAATATATTTTCTTTGGAAAGTAGATGTTGATATCTTACAGGCTATCAGTTAAGTTTAACATCAAGAACAGTCACTTCCAATTTTAAATGAACAAAATTGGATTAATTGGGTAACCAATTACCAGGGGTAATAACATAACTAGGAGACAAGTCAATGTTTTATTGCTCCTTCCTGAACCAATTTTTCACAGCAACAGTAAATCTGTTGCAATTTAATAAAGCAACAAAATGTAATTTTCATTGATTTACTTACTTTACATCCTGTGTGAAATACTATGCTTGTAAAGCAATAGAAGGTAAGGCATACTTTCACTGCCATGGATCAGATAAGAAAAATGGCCCAAGGCAGGAAGAATTTTTGTCTCCCTTAAGGTTATATTTGAATACAAGTTGACAATTGATAACTTGAACCAAATTTCTCATCATGCTCATCAAGTACAAATCAGTACTTCTATAACCCAAACAATGAACTTGAGCAGCTGTGAAAGTTGCATGAACTCTGTAGCAGTAATTCGACATTCAATTTATCTTTCTGAAACCCATCAAATTCACATGACAGCACTTGGACTTCTCTTGGTGGCTTCCTTTGTTTTAATGTGATTATATTCCAATTCACAACATCATTTAGAAATATAACAAACTGTGGCCATGAATTATATTCCAATTCACAACATCATTTAGAAATATAACAAACTGTGGCCATGAATGACACTGGGCACTAATTTCTCACTTACTTTCAATTATTTGCTCAACTCCAAAGAACTTGAACTCCCAGGGAAGGTATGAATCACCAAGAGTCAATTTAACCTTTGAGTCAGAGTACATGCAACAACTGCTATAAGTATGTTGTGAATTAGGGGTACAATATCTTAGTCAACTGTCCTCTTGCCACAGGTGAATAGCAGTGACCACTAATTTTCCCCCTTGTTTCCCCCTACTTTTGCTTAACTCCTAAAGGTTCAAGCTCTCAGTGACTTAAAGCCTCTTTCAGCTTTGCTACTTTAGAGGCGACTGTGTGTATAACAACTGTAATATATATGTTTTCTTGCCAGTACATTTTGCAATATTATGAAAAACTAGGCTACAGTTTACTCACAAGGGAAAACACAATCTGGCTTTTGAGCTCTTGCTGAAGAAACAAGATCAAAGAACTAGAAGTCAATGCTGCCGGATCAGAAATTAGAACTCACGAGGTGCTAGCGTCCTTACAGCAGAAGAACAGAGGAACACAACCCTTACGTTACATTCGTCTTAGCATTGGTTGAAAATAATGAATTTAGTCCTCATCAAACCCCGCAAATTTTTCTTATTCCTTACAGTTTTTGTGAGATACTAAACAAGTATGAATGCTTCAATCCTAGCTAAACTTCAGAATACCCGGCCACTTTGGTCTGCCTCACTTACAAGTGTCGGGAGGCTTTGAAGATCGAGGCCCAACACAATAGACTCACAAGTAAATGTAAATAACGTTGGCCGACCAACATTTAGACATTCGACAAATAGTTAGTTTGCACTAAAAAAGAGCAATTTTAAATTTGTCTTGAGTCATACATCACTCCTTTCATTTTCACGGGCGATGAAACTTCAATTAAAAAGTGGTTATTGAGACGTAAGGGAAAAGCAAACTAACGGTAAAACCCTTCTTTCGATTTCCGAAAAAAAACTCATCGTGAAAGCCGAAGAAGCAACAGTCGTAACCTAAGTAAGGTTAAATATAAGGGTTATATACCTTAGAAGCTGTTGCTTGTATAACTTTCAAATCTGTTCAATAAAAGAAGAAGTAAAGAATAATTTTTACGGCAAGCCATTTCCAATATTCCACGAGGCCGCACATCCGCCATCTTAGATAAAGCGAGCACGTGAGAGAGATTGAGGATGAATGACTAGATGGTATTCTCAGGCCTCTCTCTTCTCACTGATTGAAGAGGCGCAAATTCCAAAATTTTTGCCGTCGTTTCTTCCATGAGCGCAAACATACTAGTGCTTTTGACTGATTTTTTTTCTTAATTCCGCAAACGCCAACCTTTCCAATTCACTATTTCTAGCTTTTTCTTTAATTTTTTATGAGCTGTATATCATAGCCTTTGAAGAAAAAAAAATTCAAGGGCAAGTTTTCTTTTGCTCCTCTCCTTTGAAAGAGACGATTCTATTCTATGAACATTTAAATTTTTTTACGATTGTTTAATAGAAAATCTAGCCTTGCACTTGTTATACAAATAAGTTCAGAGGATTATATACCTACCACAAGTGTGACGGGACAGATGTTGACACGTCTATACAAGTGGTGAGCACCTGCACTGAAAAATAGAAAATGGGGCAAGATCTTCTCTACGAGGGGGCAGAAAGGGGGAAGAAGAGGAGGAGAAGATGGGAAGAAAAGGAGCTTCCCCCGGCGCGCGAAATAGAGATAAACTTGTGGCGCACATTACACCTCAAACCTACTGATTCGACATTGCCCATAATAAGTTTGTGAATTGTTAATACCTAAATTTTCTATAATTTATTCAGGACTAGCAGGAAGAATCGAGTAAAAAAAATTAAGGATTGCGGCGAATCTAGCGAAAGTTTTTCGTCACTTTGGTGGAGAAAATTGGTTTTGCTATATGATGTGTCTTGTTTTTTGGTATATATCTTTGTTTTTTGTTTTTTTGTTTTTTTGTTTTTTTTCATTTGTTTTTGTTTCTCATTTTTTATTTATCAATAACAACAACGTTCGAGGTTTACTTGAACCTTTTCTTTCTACACGAACACATTAGGGAGAATTTGATTTGTTTGCGTCTGCCTCAGCTTTTCTCTCTCGCAGTCACTACTCCCTTGGTACTTGAACCGGTGCGTTGGGACAATATCGCCTCCCTCGAAATTGGGTATGACCCTCTGAAGTCATTGGTTTTGAATACACGCGACAGGTGTAGACCTTCCGCACCTCTTTGAATTGCGCTCGCCCTTCTGCCTCTGCCTTTCGCTTCCGCCATTCTTTAAACTTTTGACTGAAGTGATTTCAGGGACAACACTAACCTCCGGACTTGACGTTGACGAGGATAGTGCAGCAGAAGAAGGCAATTGCATCGGGGAGGAAGTACGACTTCTCACCTTAGCCTTACCGGTGGTATCTAAAGGTTCTGAAAAGGAGAAAGGTTCCTGCACATTTGGTGGCGAGGATGGACATACTCTGGCAGCCGGCAATGGTTCAGCTGCACTAACAGGAGGTGGAGGAGGAATTTGAAAGCCTTGCAAAAGGGTCTTAATTTCTTCCATTCGTGTTGTATCTTTATACCAACCTCTCATGGCTTGCAAATCGGTTAAAAAATAGTTTTTCCCTCACATGCAAATGTATTTGAACAAAAGAAAGTGCTTTCGTGGGAAAGGAGTTTGGCTCTAAAGAGTTGACTTGGTTTTACTGTTTTTGGAACCGAAATGGTCGCCGTCACTGCTGAATTATATGGGGAATTTCCTCGGCTGACTGAGGCAAGATCAGGAAAATATGGGTTTATTGTCAACGCTTCCCTCGGGTAAATGCCAGCTTAGAGGCTATAAAGGAGCAAAGAAAGAGAAGATGACAAATGTCCACATTGGACAGCTGGCCAATGAGGAAAGCGTTGGATTGAAAAGTTCGTCGTTGTCAGTGCCTGACTCCCTGCACAGCCGTTTCAGCGTAGGCTTCTTCCTCGCCACCGTCGTCAATGTCGCAGGGGTGGCGACAGTATGTGCACGCAATTTAATTGCAATCTGTATATGTCGCCTAGATCAGCGCCGTTGGAAGGGGTATCTACATGAAGGAGAAATCGTATAAACCTTCCGGTGTGCAATGTACTTTTTTCTGCTGTTGGTTTTTTTTTGGCGACAATGAACAGTAAAGCAACTTAAGTGGTTAAGCAAGACGTATAGGGGAAATTTTAAACTGAAAAAAAATTAAACTTCCTTCAGTAGTTTGTTTGCTGAGATTGACATTTTTCAATCACTTGTGACCAATTCTCTCTTTTTCCTCATAATGTTCACTCTTCATTTTTCATTTTCCGTTACCGTAAATGTTATATGCAGCAAGCTGTAAAAGGGTACCTTTCGAGCCACTAAGTTTAAAATGTCATGTTTCACATTCCTTTTCCAGTGCCGCGAAATAACTCAGCTTACATCTCTAAGGCCGCACAACCAGTGACTTTTAAAATTTTGATTTAACGGAAAAGGTTCGTGGAATACAACAAGACGGCAGTCAAAGGAGATATCGACTATAAAACTAGATAAAGGTTAGGTGACCAACAACAAAAAAGTGGAACGCTGACCGAGAAAAATTGTTATTTTATTCAAAGAGCATGTAGCCATCCAAACGGGCGCTTGTCGGATTTACAAAATGCCCAATTATTACGAAGCCTTTTAAACGTGTTAAACCTCTTTTTAAATAAGCTAACGACCACATGATTGGAAAATTTGAAATATCAATAAACTCAATACTTTATCAAGGTGTGCCTTGCAAGAGTTCTTGTGGAATAATAATAATAGCTTCAGTAGGCCTTCTTGTCATACTTTGGAGCTATTTTCGTTCCCCAAAGACAGACAAAAATGGACGGGTCATAGGCATTTTCCTGGCAGCACTCGAGAACTGCTCCATTAGGTCGCGGGTTGAGCTTTGATCCACAACAGATACCAGAGTGAGGGTCGTACGGGACACCGCCACAGAGTGAATACACACGGTTTTTATTGCAAAAGTGGGTCTTGTAGTTGTAAGGGGATTGGGCACAACACTTTGTGTCTTTTCCACCAACTCGCTGTTGAACTGTTCCATTACAGCACAAAGAGCTGGCAAGATCATAGGGCTTTGTGCCACCACATAATGACGTAATGGTGTCATTGTAACAGAAATAAAGACTGGGATCGTAGCTTTCTTTACCGCAGCATTTCGAAAGTTGTCCTCCCAGTTTGGGTGTCACGGTGTCAGCACAACACTTCTGGGTGTCCAAGTCGTACCGAGCGTTGTTACAAAGAGGAGTAACTTGACCATTCGTGCAGAAGAAGCGGTTACTTGCATATGCTTTCTTCCCACAGCACTCTGTGCGGTTTCCGCCAAAAAGTGGATTTAGCTGGTTGTCACAACAAGTAAACTTCAAAGTGTCATACTTTTTCTTCTCGCACAAAGTGTAGATCTTCATGTTTTCGCAGAAGTAAAACCGAGAGTCGTAACTCTTCGCCCCACAGCACTGCGCGGTAAGCCCCCCATCACGGGTAACGGGCATGTCTCCACAGCAGATGAAGGAGATAGGGTTGTATTCATGACCTCCGCAGCGCGGGTATGTCTTCACGCCGGAGCAGAAAGACTTAGAGCTATCGTAACTGCTAGTCGCACAGCACTGGGCGTAGTTTCCACCAGTGCGAGGTTGAACATTACCAGCACAGCAAAGGTGAGATAGAGGTGCGTAGGTGCTGTTTCCGCACTTTTGAATTATCTTCCCTTCCAAACAGAAATGCGAATAAGAATTATAACTCTCTTTCCCACAGCATCTAGAAAGGAGTCCTCCCTTTTGCAGAACAACTGTTCCATTGCAGCACTGCGAGGTATCTGGTACGTATGCAGCTTGGCCACACTTCTGGTACTTCTTTCCTCCGTGACAGAAATATGTTCTGTGGTCGTACAAGTTGTTGACACAGCATTTTGCGTAAGGAGAAGGGATCTGTCCATAAGTGGCCAGTGTACCGCCGCAGCAAGTGGACTTGACGGGATCATACGGGCTGCCTTCACATAAGTAGATGATCTTTTCGTTATGGCAGAAGAATAACTGACTGAAAATTGATTAAAATATGTTTGAGTGAGAAAGGCAGTTACAAAAACTGATATTAATGAGAGGATGTGATGTCTTTCTAATAATTACGGAACTCGTAACCAAACTAATCAGTACATTTTCCAATCCGTGAGCCACGATTCATGAGGCGAAAAGGAATTGTGGCTAAATACCTAGATTGATTACAGTTTTTGAAATTTATTGGTACTTAGAAAATCTAGCTATTTGTTAAGCAAGAAGGGATAGTGTACTTTTTTTTTTAGAGCGGCTATTTCTAGAAATCATGATAACAATACTAGAAGTCGTGTTGAGGCTTTATACTTCTTAATGTACCTGTTATAGCTCTTTTTTCCGCAGCATTTCGTATTGTTTCCTCCATCGTTCAATACTACCTCGCCTTTGCAACACAAGAAGGCAGCAGGGTCGTAGGTTTTGTAGTTACACCGCTGATAAACTGTGCCGCCGTGACAAAATGAAATCCGCGAATTAAAAGCTTGATTACCGCAGCAGTCAGAGTCTCGTGGACCGTAGTTAGGGCCAATTTTTCCACCACAACATTGTTCACTGACGAAAAAGTGACAGAGGTTATGAGGTCCAAAACAACAACAAATTAAAAGTGTAATAAATATTCGCTCCTTATTCGTCCTCCCTTGCTCCGTGATCCTGTCACGAACGCGGGAAAAAAAGTCCTCCAGTCTCAGCAAAATGTAATCCGAAGGTCAAAGGGTTTGATTCCTTCTAGAGGCTCCTAATTTTTTTTTGTCCAACACTCCTGATGTTGTCAGAACACATGTTTCCCCTTTCATTGCCGAGCTCAAAGGTTACCATACAGCTCTTATGATATATGATGAATCTTCCTCTCACTTTATATCTGAGAAGAGCACACCACTCGACCTGGAGATAACTAAGTGCATTTAGGGGTCTATTTGTGCGTAATATCCTCTAACTTGTCCTATAGTTTGGCTGACAAGCAATTCTATATCGCCCTGGATATAAATCTTGTCTGTGTAAGAGTGGGACCTTGGCTTGATTACTTTGATTTTCATTATGAGTAGCAACAAAAATTTTTATCTTAAACAATACTGTACGCTTCCCTACCTTAAAGGGTTGTATATTTTACCACTGCACTTGTGCAACACTGTTTTGTTAGCATGGCAAAAATAATCCCTTGAATCGTAGTTCACATAGCCACAGCACTTAGAGTAATGACCACCGGCTAGATGAAGGACTTTGTTGTTACAGCAGGACTGGGTGTTAGGATCATAAGCTTGGCCGCCGCATTTGGGGTGTACCACATCACGGTAACAGAACTCGTAGTGCGTATTGTAGACTGATTTTCCGCAACAACTGGCGTACCGGAGGGGAATTTTACCCAGGGGAATGGAAGTACCGGCACAACAGAGGTCCCCGAGGGGATTGTATGGGCTGTTGGCACACAGTGCATACAATTTATTATTACTGCAAAAGAACTTGTCTGGGTGGTAGCTTTTTTGACCACAGCAGCGAGAGGTTGAACCGGCGCGCTGGACAAGATATTTATTGCAACATTGATATGTGCCTGGGTTGTATTGCTGCTGCTGGCATCGACCGTAGATAACTTTGTCGTAACAGAAGTTTATGCGAGAGTCGTAAGAGGTGTTAGCACAGCATTTGGCTGCCAGTCCTCCAATACGTGGCTGTTGACTGCCAAGGCAACATAGCGTCACAGCAGGGTTGTAGCTTTTCTTCTCACAGAGTGGATAGACTTTTGATTGAAGACAAAAGTAGCGGCTATCGTCATAGCTGAGATGAGCACAACACTTCGCCCTCGAGCCTCCTACACGCGACGTCACTTGTCCATTGCAGCAAATGAAGCTGGATGGATTGTATTCGGTCTTGCCACACAAAGTGTACACTTTGTCTGAGTGGCAGAAGTGGGTCAGAGAACTGTAACTGTACCGCGAACAGCAGCGTGCAGCAGCACCACCAAGTCGGGATACTAAGTAATTCTCACAGCACATGTGCGTGGAGGGATCATAGCTGTTGGCATTGCACTTCAGGAAGACATGGCCACTGTTGCAGAAGTATGAAACGGGATCGTAACTGTGGGCACCACAACACTTGGCGTCCTTGCCGCCAACTCGAGGAACAACCTTCCCACTGCAGCACTGCTGACGGGTGGGGTTGTAAGGACTACTTCCACACTTACTGTTGTAAAAGAAGGAGACATTTTTTTTTTACATTAAAGAACTTAGACCTGATAGTATTACTTGAAGTATAATTTATAATTTGTATTTTCGTGGAGATCTTTTCAAAATTTGCCGCGAAGAGGTGTTATGTTTTTTTCGATGTTAGAAGTTTCACACTCTCTTGATCACGTAACTATTTTACCAATATTTTAAGAACAATATTGATCCTGACAAGAGGGTTGTAAGGACTGATTCTACGCTAACTGTGTAAGAAAATGCGAAACTCTACTTCGAGAGTTGAATCCTGTCATCGTTGTCTGTAAGGGCCGATGTTATGATTCTAAAGAAGTTTAACAAAATTTGCAATGTACTCACATTAATGAATTTTTCAAAGATGCTAGACTTTTTTTAAAGAGTAAAAGAAGTCTAGCATAAATTACTTAGAAAACAAACCTCCTACTCTTAAAAGTGCTACGAAACATTGATGACGAGTGAAATTCTATTCTGTCTAGATTTCAATCATTAGCGAAACTACAAACGAGCACAAACCTTTAAAGTCAAAATTAGTATTTTGTCACTCATGACATTATGTAAGAAATAGAAAGTCGTAAGGAAGTCCATGTCAGTACTATAACCCAGGCCCCGGTTGTTCGAAGGTCGGATAACGCTATCCACTGGATGTCGGTGGATGACACTATATGTTTTGCTATCACTTATCCGCTGGATGACAATTAATCCTTTGGATAGCGTTATCCACCCTCTATACAACTGGGCCCAGATTGGTACGTTTCCCTACGGAAGCCAAAGACTGGTTGCGGCATGATGAATTTTGGAGCTTACGCATATCACTCAATATATCGTAACAAGAAAAGAGGGATTTTAGCTTCTTTTAGCTCCATATCTGACTTAGCTATCTTTTATTTAAGTCACACTCAACGTTCCATCATGTACTTACTTGTAAACAACTCCGCCGGCGCAAAAAGCTAAGAGCTGGTTATAGCTGCTTCTACCACAACACCCGGCTTGCAATCCACCCGTCCGTGCAGCAATCACAGAATTGCAACAAATCTGGCTAACTGGATTGTAAGGCTTCTTTCCGCACAAGGGAACGATCTTACCTCCATGGCAGAAGTATTGCCGGCTGTCATAACTTCTAGTGAGGCAGCAAGCGGTAAAGCTACCACCAATCTTAGGAACTACGCGCTTGTTGCAGCAAAGGCTCCTGGTGGGATTGTAAGGGGACAGGCCACATTTAGCGTACACCTTTTGGCTGAAACAGAACTCAGTGCGTGAGTTATATGGACGTTTGTAACAGCAGCTGGCATAGTGGCCGTAACCACCCCGAGGTGCCACGAGGTTCCCACAACAGAATGACGTCTGGATATTGTAGGCATTTCCGCCACACTTTTTGTAGATCTTGCTTCCATAGCAGAAGTAGTAGCGTGAGTCATAGCTTTTTATGCCGCAGCATTTGCCTTGCTTTACTCCGTACTGAGGACATAGGTTACCATTGCAACATAGGAAATGATCAGGGTCGTATATTCTGTTACCACATTTGGGAACAATGGTGCCTCTGTGACAGAAATTGGTGGACGAGTCATATGCCTTCTTCTCACAGCATCTCGCATATTTACCACCGGGACGAGTGTAGAAGTTGTTCTGGCAGCAAATGTAGGTCAAAGGATTGTATGTTTTCTTGAAGCATTGAGGATAAATGTACTGATTGAAGCAAAAATAACTGTGAAGCAGAAAAATAAAGAGGACTATGAATGCAGTTCGTTTAATAAAAAAAATTCAAGGTATTAAAGTCATAAAAAGTAGGAACTGCACACGGAATTGACATTTATCCTGTAGAAAATGTGGAAACACATGATATGATTATTGTTGCTGCAAGGAGGAAATCAGTGGAGACAAAAAGGTCAAAGCCTCAGTGTCGATAGCCTCCCGAATAACGACATGCATTATGGTTCATTAATGACACAATCCAGGGAAATTTACTTCCCAGATTTTCGCAAGATCTCATAAATGAGGTGCTAAAAAGGAAATAGTTAAAAAAAATTGAAGAGAAAAGTATAATCGTTATGTTTTGATATCTCAATGATCGAGTATTTAGAAGCGTGGTTAGAACCTTGCACTTGAAACATTTGGTATCAACCAGAGTCGATCTAAGACGGAAACGCGAAGTAACATTGGTACACTAAGAAATATCCTTGGAGGAGCTGGGAATTTCGTCCTTGCGGAATTGCTATATCGTACGTAACCCCACCCCCCCAAAAAAAAAAAATTAACAGACAAACAAAACAATAAATGAAATAATATCGATAAACATCTACAACTGCTACCTCAATAAGTTCGACTCCCTCACCTTCCACTGTCGTAACTTTTATCTTTGCAGCATTTGGTACTTTGTCCACTAACGAGAGGTCTGATTTTGTTTTCGCAACAGATAAACGACTGAGGGTTGTAAGCACTATTGTGGCACTTTGGGTACACTTTCCTTTCGAAACAAAAGTTTCGTTGGCCGTCGTAACTCTTGGTGTGACAACATGTGCTATACTGACCGCCTACACGAGGGTTTACCACTCCATGACAACATTTCTGAGTAACTGGATTGTAGGTCAGTTTGCCGCAGAGTGGGTAGATAAGTCTTCGGTAGCAGAAGAAGAAGCGGGAGTCGTAGGTATGAATCCCACAACACTTTGCGTGATCGCCGCCAACTCGTCTAACAACGTGTCCCTCACAGCATTTAAAGTAAAAGTCTAAGAGAAGAGAAACAGAAACTTTTTAACCCTTTATATCCTAAACATCAGTATACATATTCTCTATATTGTTCTCTATACATTTGCTAAGGTGATGACAAAGAGAGTCTGTTTATCAATCAAGAGCCTCTTTCATTGGTGATTATTCCTTCTATTCTCGTGACCTTAATACACCGTTCCGTCAAAAGCGCAAAGGTTTTTCAGCTTTAGAGACCTACCTATTAAGAATTCTGACCAAATCTCGCCAAACTTTTTTGAAAGCCCACCCTCCTGATCTTACTTTTGATGTCAGAATGAATGGTGATATAGCTGAGTTACACGTCAAAAAACTTGCTCAAGGGATCAGTGTATGGTTGAACAGGATTTTCTCCTCGATCATTTTTGCTAATTTACGCGCAAACTCCGAAAAAAACCTCACTTTGCCTTGTTAAGAGTTGTAGTGTGAACGAAGTCACGACTAAAAAATGCATAACTTCAACTGTCGATAGCAACAAGAGGTTGCCGGATAGGGAGTATCTGTTACTTTATTCCTAAAAAGGTTCCTATTGTAGATCCGTGGGATATTCATGCGAATTTCCTTTTTTCGTCCACTGGTAAACCAAGCACAAAATCATTTAGCACCACACTCATTCAAACATTATGAATCCTTCAACTCTGAGTACAACACAACTGAGTCTTAAAAAAAATTAAGTTTTTGTTTTCAAAAGACAAACATTACTCTCTTTCCTATGGCTACAAAATTTGACCGATATCATTGCATGGAAGGAATTGCCACCAAAGATAAGCAAGTGAATCAGCTCTGCTCAGTTACTTCGCCAATACGCTTCTTGAACTAAATAAGAAATACAATTTTGGGTCCAATCTTGAAATGGACCGATACGGATTCCTGTGGACTCGCTTATTCTCAATCAAATTTCCAACACCTTGATTTTTTTTGTTCACGAGTTTAGATAAACGTCCACCATGAAATTTCACTGTCTTCATACATTTTCTAGTTTTTTTACTTTCCAGAAATCTTTACTAACAAAATAGAGCCCACGCAGATAACAGTATTAGACGAACCAAATACACTCTCTTGCCATCCGCAATATTGCAGAATTAATTCCTTTTGAGGATCCTTATAATAGTGAACTCAACTATGTCTAATTATCTGTTAGAAATAACGATTGATTAAATTGGCTCCCACTCTGTCATAAGAAAATATTCTTGAGAGTAGCAATGCAACGATCAATTGAATGCATAACATAACACTGGCACAAATATGAAGGGTAGGAATAACACTAAAGTTGATGAGAAAAAGTTCGCCGTCATCGACGAAAATAAATATGAGAAGGGGAACTAATCACTTAGGTTTCCTTTGAAACTAAACGCGTGCCTCATGTTCTGCACGTTAGTGAGTTTTTAATAAAATGTCATCTTGTTTTGAACCTTCTTTGCAACGTTATTAATTAAGGCGTCCTTTCGGATGCTGCTCTCTATCTCCTTCAAAAAATCACGTTTTTCAATGCAAAAACAGGTGTCATATCGTTTTCTCAGTACCACGCCTAATACAGACATATACGTGGTCAAGATTTGTCTTTTGTTTAAAGTTCGATTTGAGAAAAATTGCTGAGGGAAGAGTCATAAGTTCTGCATTTAGTATACAGCCAGTTTACTAAATTAAAGTTTCGTGTTATACATTTCATCATTTAACAAAGCTCTTTTTGATTCTACTTTACAACAACTTTCCAATTGAAAAAGTCATCGAAAAACAAATTAATCAAACTGTGATGACAAGCTGTGACATTGTCATAGTAACAAAGTAAAGCAGGCACTATCTGAGTTTCCTTTTTTCGAAACGAAGAACACTACGTCAGAAATTTGGAAAAGAATTGTAAAATCAGGGGATTAATTTTACTTTGACAGAAGAAAGAGAGACAAGCTCTTGTTAGTAGAAACAGGAAACTGGGGAAGGAATCAAGTGAAAAAATAATTTCAGAATCGAAAGGGGTTACTGTCATTGACCGTGGGAAATGACAAGGTAATTTAGATAAAATTTTATAATGCTAATATGGAACGACTATCGTAGCTCACCTTTCAGGAATAAAGATACGTTCTATTTGCAAAATAACATGATCTTACCTAAGTGTCTGAATTTACTCATCACCTGACTTCCAACATTTGAACTTGTTACATCTTTCGCTGCGAGTAAGACACCCAAAGACACGGTTATCACCGATACAAACAACATTTTGTGTTCAGCTCAGCCAGCCAGCTAAAGTCTTTGGAAATGCTGCCCAATGGGTCTCTTTTATAACAACACAAGACTGTCATTTTTTGCTAGTAAGAGATAAGAACATGAAATATGACCTCTTGGGAGTTAAGTGGTCCAGACAAAGCCATAGACGTTAGCAATGAGATACATAACAATAATAAATGTACTTGTACAGCTTGGGTACACGGAAAATGAGGGCGTGAAACTCTTTTTCAATCTGGGTTATGTCATTAGTAGCTTTCTTTCTCGTGCAAAATGGATAATATCGTTAAGTCGAATATCCATTTAATTCATAGCATTTGGATCGTTGAATTTTTGGAATTCACCATATGTTACTGAATTCCAGCAATAACATTATTTTTCTTCTTTAGAAGAAGTTTTTACAAATTCTTTAACAAACTAAAATTGAAATACAGACAAAAACTTGAAATAAATTCAGAGACCCCTTTTTCTTGTGTATTCGACCTTTTTCTGTCATATTGGTTGTAATGCGGCTCAGTAGATGTATCAAGCACGATGGCAAATATTTTAACAGAAAATGCAACATTTTTCCATACCGTTTATAAACGCTAGAAATAACAAGCCATGTCGATCACAACTTGGTGCGAGATATTATGCAAAAAAAAGATGGAGGAACTTTCTATCGGGTGAGAATTTTCCGGGAAAATCGCAAAAGTTTTCCGTATCATAAAAAGCGTGGTTTAGACAGAGAACTAAATGTTAGTAATACAATATATACGTGTATTTGTCTGTCGGTAGCTTTGGTTTCACAAAACTTCAGGGGGTTGAACGTCTTCTCTAGTAATGATGTCATGAGCAGTTTTCTTCCTTCAACAGCAAGAGCTAATATTGTCAGTCGTATATCTACCTAAAACGTCATGATTATTCACTACGGTAAATATTTTGAATCTCACGCGATTGAGATGCATTTCTCTAGCTGACCTTTTAATATATTGCCATTACTCTTAGTGATGAAAGTTCTCGAATGATATATTCTTGTGACCTCTTATGACGAGACTTTATTTATAAAACCATTAAGTTTTCCACCTTTAATTTATTGCCAGAAAAGTTAAAAAAAATTTAAGGAAACGGAAGCGTTACTTGCAGATATACGTTTTCCTTGTTGACTAATTCATGCAAAAAAAAATGTATCAAAAATTTTGCAAACAGTTCATTTTGATTATTTCAAACTTTCCTCGAAAAAGCAGGGAAAGGAATTTTCCAAGAAACCTATTGAAATCTCATGAGAGATTTCAGGCATGATCATCTTAAAAGCATGGTTTACTTATAAAGGGCGATAGAGATTGTGCTTGCGATTAAATTAACGACTGATTTGATGAATTACCGGCCGCAATGAAGTCTGTTTAAAGTAGAAGATGGAAAAGTTTTGGTTGTATGTTGCTTTGTGCACGCACATTTAACGCTTTAAACAAACTTTGCAATATTGCGTGTAACCGAAGGTAAAAGAACAAAAACAGAATCTACCCCAGTGAAGCAACATTTCACCTGAGGAATGAAGACTAATCAAAATCGAGGGATACTTCAGAAGAAAAAAGACAAAAAAACTGTACTATAAGATTTGGCGTGTTGTATTCTGGCGTGTCAAGTTCGTTTCAAAAATGGAGCTAAAAGCAACTGAAAGGGAAGCTATTCTTGATTTCGTACCGGTTCCCAAACAGGTCATCTATAATCATTCATCATCAAAATTCTGCAACTGAAACACTCAGATTGAAATGTCGAGTCATGTTGCGTTAAACCTTGAGTCTTTACTCTACTTAAGTTTACTAAGTACTTCCCTTTTTATGAACTTTTACGATTCAGTCATTGTTTTCCTTCTTTTTCTCGGCTGAAATACCTGAGACGGAAGTTGAAACGTAAATTACAAATTAGTTCAGCGCTTTTCTGGAAATCGAGGCGAGTCGAAAATTACAGAACCTCCACCCGGTGAAAAAAATTTTAATTATGGAGGAGTTTGGTCGATAAGTATACTTTAATCGTCATAGATGTTTCAATCAATCGTTGTTCATAGTTGTGTTTAGGGGAAGAACTATACCATAAAAAATGGTTGCTGATGGGAGTTTTTAATTTTCAGTTTTTAACCTCACTTGGGACACATTTTGGAATGGAAATTCAAGATTCAAACATAATGTAGCTTTTTTCGTGATTCAAAATCCCGAAACTGCATGATTTGACTCATTAAGAGCTTGAATTTACCTCTGAACAGACAGGTTAACTAATGCGAAACAAATACTCGCGTGATAAACACCAACATATTGATGTAAAGCGATCGAGACTTTCGTAATCATCTTAAAAAGTGTCGTGTACCTATTAAGGTCGATAGAGATTGCGTTTTGCTATGAAATGAGAACAAGATTTGATAAATGACCGGCTACGACGAAATACTTTTTAAAATAGAAGACAAAAAAGAAAAAAATTAATGATCTCTCATGTAATAAGGTTTTTCTAAGCTGGAAAAATGTAGGCGCAGTTCTGCTCGAAAATTAGGTAAACGGACAAACTTTTGTTCAAGTTTTTGTGCTTGTGTTTTTTTTAAAGTGATGTGAAATAATTCCATATATCCGTAAGATCGAAAACAAAGATATTCTGCTATCGATTGCTCTGTCGTGCAGCTATGCGCATAAATATGAATTCTTTTCACCTGAGCACTGATTCTTGTTTACCGTCGAGGAGTAATTACATATTGTTAAAAACCTATTCTTAGGATTCGTGATGTCAGCAAGCTCGTGACGGGAATTCCTTTCAAATTA